TGCTCGAACCGGAGCCCGCTGTGTACCCAGTGCCCGGAGCCCGCTGGCTCACACCCACCGGTGAGAGGGCCTTCCTGCCCTGAGCTGCGTCCCAGCCTTTGGCTCAGGCTGGCGCCTCCTCTCCCTCAGGACTGCCTCTGGATTCTCAGTGGTGGACCTGAGCTGAGAAGCTCGAGTGGGGTGCAGGGGGCCTGGGCGTGGCCGACTCCAGGAGAAGTAAGGACTCGGCCCCTTGTTGCCCCGCACAGTGGGCAGGGCCAGGCTGGGGTCCTCCCCGACCCCACGAGCACACTCCCAGGGTGGACCAGGAAATTTCGGGAGAGAGGGAGGTTCAGGATGTCAGGAGAGACCTCAATGGGGCCTGCGGGAGCCCCTGACCCCACGAATCAGTGCCCTGCAGGTCTCTGCATCCGCAGCAGCCCAGGGCCCTCTGCCTGGAGCAACCATGGGCTCCTCACAGTGGCCCTATTGCTACAAAAGGCCACCATGCAAATGGGTAAACTGAGGCTTTGGAGAGCCAGGTAACAAGGCCTGGGCTACGTGGCAAGAGAAGGGCAGGCTGGGGCTCGTAACCCGGCCCTGTGAGTCAGGAGTTGGTACCACCTCACTGCCTGGGTGGCAGACAGACTAGGAGCTTCTGGGGACCCTGAGGAGGGACAGCCCCAGTCAGCTGGTTCCTGGTGGAAGGGAGATGCTTCCTCATGTCCTCTGTCCCCCAAACCTGCTCGTGGAGCCATCTGTGCCCCTGATACCACCAGCGGATGCCCAGCTCCCATGGGTCCTCCTGCTGCTCGGCCCTTGACCCCAGCCTGTGGCCCCCGCCCTGACCCTGCCAGCCCCCTGGTCCTCAGCACTTGGCCCTGCTGCCACCAGGCCAGCGCTCGTGTCATCGGGCCTTTTGTGTGAAGTGCTGTTTCATGAATTCTGCCCAGGGAGCAGGAAGGGAGCGGGCAGCCTGCTTCCTGCCTGGGGTGCCGCCATCCACACTCAACGGGACGGGGTGCAGGCTCCGCCAGGCCGGGGGGGCACTGGGTGGTAGCGCCGCGCTGCAGAAACCGAGGTCAGTGAGCGCCCAGCAGTGCACCCTTCCTCTCTGCCAGCCGCGGGGGGTCTGCAGGAACCTCCTGTCAGCCCCCAGGGCTGTCGCCGGGCCGCCTGCCGCTTTGTGCCACCTCTGCATCTGCGCAGCACCGGCAGGAGGCAGCCCGGGGGCCAGGCCTGGCCGCAGAGCAGGAAGACCCAAAGGCACGCTGACCTCTTCACTGCCCACTCAGGCAGAGGCCACCCCTGGCACAGGTCAGCCCGCGTCCTCATGTCTGCACTGTCACCCGTCCCCTGGTGGCAGCCCCGATGTGTTTCTCCCCCAAGCCTGCTCCCCCCTGAGTATCTCGCCTCCCGGGTCCGCGTGGTCCCCCTCCAGTCCACCCCCTCTAACCTGTCCTCCCTCCACCTCTGCGATCCTTTCCGGCCCCGAAACAAAGCCCACCACAATTCAAGGGCTGGAAACCGTCCCTCCTCCTCCTCCCTGAGGCAGGGAGCCCTCAGAGGCTCACGCTGGGCCACGCACGCTGGGCCACGCACGCTCCGTGCCCTCATCCCTCCCCGTCTCCTCCCGGCTGGCTCCTTCGCTCTCTCCTGTCCGCACAGGTCGGAGACCCCTTCAGCCACCTCCCCCTGCCCCGAGCATGCGCGCACTGGAAGAGGGTCTGGTACTCAGTCGCGTGAAGGAGGGGCCTTTGGGACTTTGGTTCTAAACGTCAGCTGGGGCTTCAAAAAGCCAGAACACTAATCATCTCTGTAGTGTGTACGAGGAATGTTGTTAAAGAACAAAACCCAGCTCTCTGAGGATTTTTTATCAACTCTGCTCAGTAACGCGGGTCACGCTCCAAACATGGAGAATGTACTTCTCACGCTTGATTGCAGTGGGAACTCACCCCCAGTCAAAGCGACGGTCGCGACGTCACAGGGAACCAGTAAATGTGGGTTGTTTAATAAAATGAAGGCTGGCAATGCAACTCCGTCCAGCTGCAAACACTGGTTGTGAGGTGTAGCCACTGATACTGCGTCATGTTTAGAAATCCTTTCTATCACTGGTCAAGAAAATGTCTTTGACCATACTAATAAACTGTTTTGGAGATGAAAAAACAGAAAACAAACAAACGAAACTCCTGCCTCGCTTCCGGGAGGCTGCCTGAAGAGCCCCTCTCCTGGGCTCTGGGACGTTCCAGGCCCCCCACCTCTGGCAGAACCCACCACACCCTTCATCAGCGAGGGTCTGTGTGCTGGTCTCCCCAGAACAAGGGCCAGGTAGTGTCTATGTTTGTGCATCCAGAACTAGACCTGCGCCTAGAATACGATGTGCCTTTAATAAGTGCTTGTTGAGTAAACAGCCGAGATGTCACCTCCTGACAGAGGCACAAGCCCCGGGGCGTCTGTCTCCGCCTTTCACAGTGAATAATCCCTGAGGGAGGCCGCCCATCCGTCAGCCCCGCCCCTCCCTCCCCACGGGACACGCCCTCCGGTCGCTGGGGGTCGTCAGGGCACGAGGAAGCCCCAGTTTTAGATAGGAACCCTCCTCTTCTGCCATATTTACCAGCGTGGACGGTTTTGGTGGGATTTACACGCACAGTTTATATCATTAACACGAGCGTTGTCCTTACTGTTATATAGAAAGTACAGTACCGAAGAGGTTTTCCAAAGCAAAGGGCTCCACGGGAGCATCACTGGTTTGGGGTGGGTGGCTGGACAACCGGGCCCACGTGCCGCGCAGGCCGGGCTGCGGTGCTGAGTGTGGCTACCACACCCGGCCCTGCCTCCTCCCAAGGCCCCACTGCCCACCGCACCTGGGTGAGTTTCCGGGAGTCAGCCGGCCCCGGGCCTCCCGGACGCCCTGGCAGGCACCCCCTGCGCAGCACGGGCCAGCTCTGTGAGGAGGAAGAACTGGAGGAAAGTGGTGCCTCTGCCTGAAAGAGGCTTTGAGATAAGTGCAGCCACAGCAGACACTCCTGAGATGAGCTGTGGACAGAAACTGCACAGACAGGCGCGAGAGCTGCAGTGTGGGTGTGGCGGCTGTGCTCTCCACGACCCACACAGACGTGTCTCACGGACAAAGCTGCAGCCGCAAGGGTTCCAGCTCCGCCTGAGCGCACGTGGCAGCCGGGGCCCGGGACTGGAAACCTGCTCTCTCAGATCCCGGAGGTCAGAGGCTTTGGGACGCAGCGATGGCTGCCCAGGCTTCTCATTTCAGAGGTGAAAGAGGCCGAGGGCCAGACATGACTTGGCCACAGAAGGCCGCACGAACGGCCGCCCCCCGCCCAGGCTGCTCCCACCACGGAGCCGCTGCCTGAGCGCATTCCGGGCATTCCACGGCGCCTCCGCGCCTTATCAGAGGGTTTGCTGAGGCTCCTGTTATCTCCTTCTCACGTATCAGTGACAGAAGTCTTCCGCCCTCCCCGCCTGTCCACCATCTGCAAAGAAACCCAGGGCCGCGCGGTGACATCTCAGATAAGAGGGGTGGGGGCTGGAATCTTTGGGGTTCTTATTTCCCTTCAAACATGGCCAGCTGTAACGTAAGTGTACATATTCAAATCTTACATAGTAATGTACAGTAAAATCTTACATAGTATACAAATGAATATACAATTTTTAGAATTATTTAGTTTGTTGGGGGGAGGTGATTAAGTGTATTTATTTAGTGTTTTAGTGGAGGTGCTGGGGATTGAACCCGGGGCCTTGTGCATGCTAAGCATGCGTTCTACCACTGAGCTACACCCTCCTCCCTGTAATGTGTATTTCTAAAAATCGTTTTTATGTTTAAATCTTGAAGATAGTGAGAGTCCAGGCCAACGCTCTAGCTTCGCCACTGAACATGCACGTTAGCACTCCCTCCTCCTTCAAGAAGTGACTATTTCAAAGGATAATCATCAACTGGCATCGAAAGAATTCGGCCTTAATCACCGAGAGAGCACGTCCTAACCCCAGCCTCGCCCACACATGCCCGCGGGACCTAGGACAGGTCACCCGGCCGCTCGCAGCCCAGGTCGCACGAGGTCAGTCCCTGCAGGAGGACACAGCCCCTCAGCTTTGGGGAAGCGGAGTTGTTCAGTCCCAGCTAAGAGGAAAAACTCCACTTTGAGAGAAAATATGTGCCCTGTCTTTTCCACAAGGAATTCAACCATTAAAAGTCTGGATTTGCTAGAAAGTCTGCTGCTGTGCCATGGAACCCAAGCCAGGAATCCCCTGAGCGACACAAACCAGGAGGGCCAGGACTTACAGCCCCCGTGCTCCTCTGGGCCCTTGGCCGGCACATCCCAACACTCACAGCTCCACCTGGGGAGCGGACGGAGGCGGGGTGTCAGAGTGGTGCCCGGAGATGCGAGCCCCGCTGCAAGAGGCAGCTGCGACCCCCACATCTGTCTCCGCCTGGCCGCACCTCGTCTGCCGTCCCGCTCCCACGTCCTCCTGGACAGGCTGGCTTTCAGGTCATCCCGCTGGCTGGGTTTGGCCTTGTGCGCCCGGGGCCACTTTTACCATCGGCCCAGTCTAGTGGGGTTGAAAAAATGACTGAGCTGTTTTAACCTGGTATTTTATCAAGGGACTCCTTGAATATTTTAATGATTGGATTTTACAAGCCCCGTGCTCTGGGGCCTTTTTTTTTAGTGAAGAATAATTCTAAGATGAGCCTTGCAAATTACTATATGGAAAGAAAAGAAAAAAACTGCGTACGTGTCTTTTCCTGGACGTCCTCCTCGAGTCCAGCTCCGGAAAGCCTGTGATCACATATCCACCCCCACAAAAGACCTTAACTTTCTGAGATTGCTTTGCGAACTTCATCTCAACACCTAAAATTTTGATGTTTACGGTTTGATACCCTGTGCTGTGATGCACATGGAAACCTTGGGAAACCCTGGGGGCCCCCGGGTGGGTGTGTGTCTGTCCCATCCTGTGGTTGACCTGCCCTCATTTCTCCGGACAGATTCTGGAGCGTACTGATTGCAGAGGACAGAGGAGTGAGAAAGGTGAGTCCAATCTGGTTTTGGGGGCTCGGCCGAAAGCGAATTTATGTTTCTCCACTCGGATGCATTATTGATGGACTTCTTGTAAATTTTTAAACGAAATAAATAATGTATTTAGAGCAGTGTCAGTTTATGTCTGTTTACTAATTGGGTGGTCTAAATGTACCAAAACAATGTAAAAAGACTCTTTTGGAATTAACAGTGTTTCAGGAAAGAGGCAACGAATTCTCACTTTTAAGCACTTCTTTTTGTGTTGAGTGTTATTGTGTTGACTGGTGTCCGCGTTGTGGGGAAAATAAGGGGGAGCAGAGAAGAAAGGAAAAAGGAAAGGCAGGAAGGAAGGGAGGACGGAGGGAAATAGAAGAGGAAGGAAGGAAGAAACAAAGAACAGGGAGAGGGCGGGAGACGCAGTCACACTTGCCCAGTCCCTACACTCAGGCGGTGGTGCGTGCGCGTGTGCAGGAGCGTGTGCACTGGGAGGAAAGGGGCGTGGGGTGTGCAAGAGAGGGCGTGGCTCTGCCCCAGGAGAAGCTCCGCGCGGGGGGTGTAGGACGGCCCGCACCTGTGCCGGCTGCGCCGCCCCCGACCCGGGAGCAAAGACCGTCCTGCCCGGCCTGCTCCTCTGTGCCCGGAGCCCGCCCGGAACTCACAGCCCACGGGAGGCAAGTACTCAGTAATTATTTGCCGCACGTGCTGATGTGGTTTAATTCAATTCGCTGACTGGCGAGTCTGGAGCAGGCCGTGTGCTGGGCTCTGGGCACACGGCCCAACGCAGAACAGGCAGCTTTGCGTCGGCGAGCACACAGCCCGGCTCCTGTGACTTTCCGGGAACTTCTTCCCCAGACCACAGCAGCTCTGGGGGCCCGGGTCTGGCAGTCCCCAGCCTGGGTCTAAAACTGGGATTTCCCTGGGATGCGGGGTGCTCAGGGATTTCTGACTCACAGCCCCACTGAAGGCCCAGAGCCCTTGGACCTGCCAGGTTCCCTCTGGAGTGAGGGTACGTCCAGTGTGCGAGATACAGACATGGTCTTGCTGCGAGGCAGGCCCTGAGCGGCTGCCTCTCTGGCTGTCTTCATCCCTCTGCAGGTGGTGCCCTTGGTCCTGGAGCAAAGGCCATTGATCTGTCCCCATTTCGGAGTGCTGGCCACCCACACAGAACAGGTGTGGAGCAACGCATCCAGGCCGATGGGGACCGTGGGTGTGTGGGGAGCAGGGGGGCCCCAGGGCCCCATGGGACAAGCCGTGAGCTTGGCACCCACACCTCTCACCGCCCCACAGTGCGCCCTTCCTGCTTGGAGACACGAGTCAGGTTTAGTGGAAAAGCTCCCTCCCCGAGTCTCTGACGACTTGAAAACACTGGGCGAGGCTGGGCTGGTCGCAGAGTTCAGGGACCAGGGAACCGCGTGGACGCTGGCCTCCGCCGTGCTGGAAGGCATACGCACGGCTGGTACAGACAAAACACAGTGTCCCCACACTGAGTGAGGGGAAGGTGGTGTCCCAGACGGTGTCAGCGGCATCTGTGAACCTCCTGGAATTTTATGTGGAATTACAGGTTTGTGTGTGTGTGTTTTCCGGGTGGAAGGTCCGAAGTCTCTCAGACGTCCAAAGGAGGTTAGACCCACAGCCGTGGGCCGTGCTCACCTTCTATGTACAGGAACATTTTAAAGGTGCAGAAGATCTACCTTTTTAATTCTGACACCACTTCCAGAGAACTCGCTTCTGGAGCCACTGTGAGGAGCAAGGGCAGGTCCGCGGACAGGCTCCACATGAGCGGAGGGTCATTTCTGAAAAGCAGTCTCACCTTCCAAGGCCCTGAAGCCAAAAAAAGGCGTAATTTAATCTTTTTGAAAAGAATTAATGGTATAAGTGGCCAAGTGGCTTAATTTTATGCTCACCTTGGGATTCCAAGTTTATTAAGCTTCTGCTTAGAAGTCCCCTCACCCCAAGTTCTCAATCACGTGCACGTCTCCATACAAGTGAGTAAACGGTTTGTGCGTCTCACGGCATTTAAGGAGCTGCGTTTTGACGACCTGCGCTGTCTGTCTTAGCACCTGTTTCACTAGAAATGCACGTGAACCCACTGTGCCCAGGTCACACTCCCTTGGGGTGATGCCTTAACCCCTCAGGGCGTTTCCTGACCTGCCGCTGAGAATGTGGAGAACCAGCCTCACTGGTGGGCATGGTTGGAGGCTGGACCACATCAGTGCAGTACCCGTGCCTGAGACTGGGCAGAACGGGCAATCAGAACTGCAGTTTGCTTGGTTTCCTTCGTGATCTGAAAAGGGTCCAGCTTTTCTCCAGGCTCCAGAGGGTCCAAACTGCCACAAGCACCTGCTTTTCCACCTTAGATGAGTCTTGGATTGCAAACTCCCTATGTTTAAGAGGCCTCGTATTAAGGTCCGGGCCCCAGTTTCAGCTGAGACTCTGGGGCGGGGATCCAGGCTGTGGCCCGGGGCGGGTCCTGCCGGGCCAGCAGGGAGGGGCAGGGCCTGCCTGCTCCCCGACCGGCTTTTCTGGAAGTGCTTTGACACATAGCCCACGCCTCCACTGGGCAGGCTGACTCTGAGTCCCAGGGGAGAGGCAGTCACCTGTGTGTCTGCCTGGCTGGGGTACTGGGGAGGCGGGACGTTTGTTATTTCAGGAGTAAATTACGTAAGGACCAAGGCTGGTCTCAAACCGCTCCAGCTGGATCCATTCAGGGATCTTACCCGTGTTTCAGGAAGGATTTGTGACTCTTCCGGGCCCTGTGTTCAAGCAGAACTGTGATGTCCCACTGGAGGCCTCAGCGGAGATGCCCAAGCAGAGGGCGCGGTGCCGGCTCTCCTCCCCCTCCCCCCCACCTCCCCCAGCCTGGCCTCCTTCTCCAATGTCCTGACCCTCAGAGCCCCTCCTGCCCTCCCTGCTCTTCTCCGTGAAGAACCTCAGGACCAGGCTGGAGCCCCAGTGATCCTGGTGGATGAACCCTTTAAGGAGATGTGAAAAGATCTGGTTTCTCTTACAAACCACCCCCGCCCCGACTTTTAGATCTGAACTCACTGCTCTGCTCCTGAACCCCCACTGTGGTGAGAACAGCTCCTTTTCCGGGAAGGAAGCTTAGAAATTACATTCAGAATCTGGAAGCCGGAAGGAAGGGGTGTTTGAAGTCATCTCTTTCAATGTTTCCTAATCGGCTGACTCTGAGTCCTCTGCAGAACTGACGGAGATGGATGTTTGCTCAGTGGGAGCAGACCTGCAGAAGCCCAGGCCCCCGTGTGGGGCTCATCCTCCCCACGCAGTCACAGACACCCCGGCCTCCAGATGCTGACCTGCTCCCCGGGGACCCTGGGGCGCTGGCGGGGCCAGCAGAGGCTGGAACAGCAGCGCGGCCCCGAAGTTGTGCAGGGATGAGCCCCCTCGCCTCCGGCCTGCAGAGTGACCGCAGGCCTGTCCCTTCTCTCGCAGACCTGTGCTTTCATCTGTTGACAAAGGACGTGTCCTCACCAGCTCCAGGCTGCTGAGAAGGACCAGGATCAGGCTCACGCCCACAAACGGAGGCAGCCTGGGCTTGTGGGCCCACGGGACGCCCGCCCACACCCACCCGGGGCAGAGGCTTCCCCCCCTCACCCCGCCGCAACTGCAGGTGCTCCTCAGCCTCCACCGACCTCACCAGACTCCCTCTGCACACAGGACAAAGATTCCTGTGCTCCAGAGGGTTGCTATAAAAGCTTGCAGCTTTTCAGGTGAAATTCCAACAGTAGTGGAGAAGCTCAGGGAATGCAGACATCACAAAGCAGGTGGGAAGGCATCAGGTATTTCTGACGTAAAAGCTAAAAACCCAACACGGATTCCAACACTGACGACCCCTCCCGGGAATCCAGGAGCTCCGTGGAGAGCCTGACACACGTACAGGGCACCAAGACGGCTCTGGGCCCCTGGAGGACCCGCCCTCCGCAGGCAGTGTGGAGAGCCTTCCGGTCTCTGGGCTGTTTAGCGAAAAGCCTGGGGAAACCTCAAAGGCAGAGACTGCTTCCCATCCTCCACTTCCAGAAAGAGGAGGAGCAGGGAGCCAGTGGTGCCATGGACGCTGGTTCCTCGCCTGCCTCCCAGCAGCCTGTCCGGTGCTCTCACCGAGACCAATCAGTGCATCTTATCTGCTCCCAGCAGATACGGTGGCGCCAAGTCCGAGAGGGAGGCCTTTCTCCCTGGGCTGTAGTTAACTCTCAGACCCCTGAGAACTGACGACACACTGCATCCCCCTGGCCCCTGCCCCCACCTTCCCCTCACCCTCGTCTTAGACATTTCCAGACGCCACAGTCCCTCCAAGGGCAGTTGACCAGGAGAGGGGACAGCTTCTCCAGGTGGCCAGATCCACATGAGGCAGAAGCGTTTTCACTCTGGAGATGAATTTCTTGGGGTTTCTAAGTGGTCTCCTGAGATGCTTACACGTGCACGTTCCCTCCTCTGCTGCGGGGGTGCAAGGGAAAGCAAAGACGCCGCTGGTGCGAGATCTGACCCCGGACAGTCGCACCAACAGGACACTGGGGATTATCTCTGCTGTTCTCAGAAACCAGGGCCAGAAGGGCTTGCAATCTGAGCTTCCTCTGAGCAAAGATGCCAACAGGGCCCCGGGGTCCAGGGCTCTGGGAGAGGCTGGAGGGCAGGGACAGGAAAAGGGGAAGCCGGGGGTTGGGGTGGGGGTGGGGGGAGGAGCATGAGGACCCTCTCCTCCACCTCCGCGCACCTCTCGCTGCTCAGGTCTTGAGATAAACACAAGACACCTCCCTTGGTTTTTAAGACCATCTTCGCCCCGTTCCCTGCATCTCAAGATGACTGCTCACAAAGTGGGACTTTAACTGGGCACCCACGTCCACTCTTACACAGGGACACTTTAGGGTGTGTGAGTCTAAAGACCACGTCAAGAGGGGCACAACCAGAAAGAAGTGTGGCCACAAGACGGTGTCGTGTCTGATGTCCTACCCCGAAGGGGCAAAGCCAGGAGCCTGTTTCCGCCCCACCCTCTGCACTCTCGTTCCTGCCCCCCCTCCCCCCTCCCCAGGCCGGCCACCTGCACCACGAGGTCAGAAATGGGATGCGGCGAATTGTGGTTTGCCCAGTGCACCTCGTGCCTATCCCTTCCCGGAACCAAAGCTAACTGGACGGAGAGAAAACACTGCATTTTCATGGACCCTCTTTCTCATGGCTGCATTGTGGCCACATCTGGCCCCTCCCAACACCGCACTTGAAGACGTAAAGGAATTGGGGTGAAGATCTGATTTCCTTCCTTCTGAATTCTCAGTTTGACTAGCCACACTTCAGATTCTGCTGGTTTGTTCGGCACAACTGATTCTCTTGGCCTTCCTGTAGGACAAGAATATGTTGAGCTGTTGCGGGGGTCTGGAAGATGGTGGACCCCAGGATCCAAGCCCAGAGCCTTCACCGCAGAAGAGCCAGTGGCCAGCTCAGGCCCAAGAAGTTGGTAGCTGCCTTCAAGGGGCCTCTGAGGCTTTCTAACTGGCCTCCACCCCTTGTCCTAAAGAGTCTGGTTCTACAAGGGAAGAGACTGTGGGTTACACAAAAGGAACATCCCAAGCCTTCTCTGGGGCAGAAGCTCTCAGATCCAGGGACACAGAGCTATCCCTGAGGAGTATTCCAGCAGGCGAGGCTGGATCCCTGGGGTTCCCTCCGCCCAGCCGGTCAGGGTGGGGCAACCCTGCCGAGGTCCCCACTGGCGGCACTGACCACCTGGACTTCACACCTCCTCCCCCAAGCCATCGGCTGCCAGACTGTCAGTCCCACTAAACCTTGTGTCAACCCCACAGCCCTGAAGCAGGTCGTGTATCCAGTCTGGTGGAGCTTTGCCAAAGGCAGAGGCTCAGGCCCAAGATTCAGTCTGTAGGTTAGCACCACCCGCCCCTCCGGTAACCCAGTGGCTGTGCTTGACCGTCTCACCCACCCTGAACCTTGGCCCACCTCGGGCACTTTGGGCCAAGCCCCTGGCTTCAGTTCTGCTGCCCCAAAAGTTTTATTGCTGAATAAACAACTGAGCTCCCCTTTAAATAATGACTAAAAAAAATGCAAACAAAATTTGAACCCATGTCAAACACCGATGCACAAAAGAAGACAGAGCAGCCAGGCTCTGGCTGGACGTGGGCACGCGTGTGGGCGCGGACAGCCATCAAAGGAAAACCACCCTGCCAGCAACTTCCCTGCTCAAGAGCCCCCAGCCTGGCTTCCCCGCCCCCAGAAGCCCAGAGAGAACCTGGACCACAGAACTTTGCCTTAGGAAGACCCCAGAATCTCAGGCAGCACCTCTGAGCGCTACCCTGCAGGTGTCAGTGTGCCTGGGCCCTGTGGCTCTTGGAGCAGATTCTGAGTCGGTGGGTGGGGACACCTGAGACTGCAACTCTGTCCAGCTCCCGCGAGGCTGGCACTGAGGCCGCAGAGCCCAGACTGTGGGTGGGCTCGGGGGTCCCCCCGTCGCGGAAGGTGGAGGACCTCACCTTTCTGTATTTCCAGGCACAAGTGCCCCGGGAGGACCAGGACCGGCTGTGCTAAGAAAACACTGTCACAGAGAAGCCCCCACGCATCTCCAGCCTTGAGCCGGAGTGACACCAGGCACGAACTCTGCGAACTTTCAGGTTCATTGTCCAAAATGTTGAATTCTTTTAAAATGACATCAAGATTTTTATTTATGATTAATTTTTTTTTACAACTTTAAAGCAACACTCAGGTACATGCTCAGAAGGGATTCTCTCCCTTGGAAAAGTGTTAACAAAATGCTTCAGGTCATTGCGGTCAGCCTAGGAAGGCAGGCGTGGAAGGTGGGCTGTGTGGGGTGGCCCTAAGTGACCGCAATTCTGTGCTCCAGTCGTCTCACCTGTAAAGCACAGACAGTCCGGGGGCTTCTTCAGAGCGTGGAGGGGAGTCCAGGAGGAAGCACAGGCTGCACTGTGCATTGGGCACAGACAAGCAGGAAGCCCCACCCAGCACGGGTGCTAAGTTGCTGTCACTCCCCCTCCACCCGCGCCCAGGAGAGGGGACTGGCACACGCGCTGGAATTGTGAGCACAGGAGCCAGGCTCTGCTCAACTCAGTAATGGTCGAAGATTCCAGGTTTGAAATAGACAAGAAGCAGTGGAGCTTGGGTGACAGGTACGTTTTATACGGAAAACGATAAATGATGGAGAGGGTGTGGAGAAAAGGGAACCCTCCTACTTTATTGGTGGGAATGTAAATTGGTGTAGCTACTATGGAAAACAGTATGGAGATTCCTTAGAAGACTAAAAATAGACTTACCATATGACCCAGAAATCCCACTCCTGGGCATATACCCAGAGGGAACTCTAATTTGAAAAGATACAGGCACCCCAATATTCATAGCAGCACTATTTACAACAGCTAAGACATGGAAGCAACCAAATGTCTATTGACAGATGACTGGATAAAGAAGATGTGGTGTATTTACACAATGGAATACTACTCAGCCATAAAAAGAATAAAATAATGCCATTTGCAGCAACATGGATGGAACTGGAGATCATCATTCTAAGTGAAGTAAGCCAGAAAGAGAAAGAAAAATACCATGTGATACCACTTATATGTGGAATCTTAAAAAAATGACACAAACGAACTTATTTACAAAACAGATAGACTCACAGACATAGAGAACAAACTTATGGTTGCTAGAGGGAAAGGCAGTGGGAAGGGACAAATTGGGAGTTTGGGATTTCCAGATACCAACTACTACATATAAAATAGATAAACAACAAGGTCCTACTGTAGAGCACAGGGAGCGATGTTCAACACCTTGTAATGGCCTGTGATGAAAAGGAATATATACGTATGTGTAGCTGAATCACCATGCTGTGCACTAGAAGTTAACACAGCATTGTAAACTGACCGTACTTAAATTAAATAAATTAATTAAATTTAATAAAAAAAAAGAAAAGAAAACGCTGATCCGAACACCCAGCGCCCAGGACCCGCCTCCCCCGTGGGCTGCCGGGGCACCAGGGACACGGGGCTTCATGCTACAGGCTGGAAAAGCCAGGCCTGCCTTGAAAGGTCCGAATTCCATGAATCACTGAGGGTGAAAAGGGTACTTCCAAAGCAGGCTACAGCCTCGCCTGGAGCTGGCCTTGGTTTTGTAGGGCCACACGCCTCATTCTTTAAGCGCCACGGAGACAGGAAGGTGAAACTCAGACCAGGAAGGCCGTCAGCCCTCCATCTGCTGAGTACAGTCTCGGGACGAACAGTGCTCTCGGAAAGAGAAGCGGCCTTACTGGAAGGTCATGCATCTTCTAGAAATAGCCCTGAAGACGCACAGCCCCTCGGATTAACCCTCCTGAGCCATCCACATCTCACCAGGCCCACGGACACCTCGCCTGGGTGACCTGGCCACTCCGCTGTCCCCAAGTCTCCCGTAAGAAGGCTTCTGTGTTTCTGAGCACAAGGGATCAGTCAAGTTAATCGAGTACTGATTGAGTCGAATGTCTCACTGTTATTATTACCACCGCTACTGTTTTCATTAACCGAACTCACATTATTTTAATTGATGAAATCTTCAAATTATTTGGCGTGGGTTGACACATCTGTGTAGACTGGAAAAGTGGAATGCAGGAGAGCCCTTTGCCCACGCAGGGACGGGACTCGGCAGAGACGGGGGGCGTCGGCCGGCCCAAGGCCCCAGGGTGGGACGCAGCACGGCCTGGGGAGACCTGGGTGTCCGTGTCACTCCATGGTCACCCAAAGACAGGCATGGACAGATCCCAGGCAGCCCAGTCCATCCCAGAGAGACTCCCAGGCCCTGACACGACACGGGCTCAGAACCGCCTCAGGCAGGTGTGAGCCGTCCTGGGGATTCCCTAGATTATCCACTCATCGGCCCCTCTGTGGAGTGCGGTGATGAGCAACACACGGCCTTCCCCTGGAGAGATCCATCATTAGAGGAGACAGGCAGGTTAATTACTAACTACTACGCTAGGTGGGGTGAAATAAACGCTTTAATAAACGTACCGGCAGCGCGTTACGGCGCTGCTGGGAGGCAGTGATCACCTGACCAGAGACGTCGGGGTGAGCTGGCGTTCAGGCGGGCCTCAAAGGGTGTCGTGGGCGGAGGGGAGCCGGAGGCCTGTGACCCAGATCCTGAGCCGGGCCTTCCTCCTCGCCTGGGTCACAGGACAGTCCTCGACGGCGCTCAGGTATTGGAATGACACTCAGAGCTGTGTCTCTCCGGTCCCCTGGTCTCCCGTGTACCCACCAGCAGGTGAGGTTCGTGCCTGGCTTTCCGTGCTCCTTTAAACAAATGCAAGCCTTCTTACCCTTCACTTTAAACACATCCTGTCGTCCGCTGTCTGCTTGGTTAGCATCACAGTCCAAAGACCCTTCCACACCGGGGACAGAGAGCTCCCTCTGGGGGGTAGGGAGCCGAGAGAGGACCCCAGAGGAGGGGTGGTCTGCCACTCGACTGCCGCGGGGCTCAAGTTCAAGACGGAGACAAAGCCTTGGGTCAGGCGGCGTGGAGGAGACTCCACGGGACCATGCAGGGGGTTTCTGACATCAGACAGGGACGACCCCTTCAGGACCTTGCTGACAGGCGAGGCAGAGAAATGGGGCCACGAGGAGTTTGGGGGGCCTTTTCCTGAGAGGATTAAAATGTCAGCACACTGTTGTTTGAGTCGGAAAGACCAGGAGACTCTTGGTGGGGGGTGGGGACGGGGCAGGCAGGGGAGGGTGGGATCTCTGCTCCTGGCTCAGGGTGGCAGGGGCTGGGACTGGTGCTCGCGGAGCCTGGCTGGCCCATTCGACCCTGGAAGTTTGATCCACAGTGATTTCCAAATGGAAGTAGGGATGGGGCTCCCGCCAGGGCAGCTGGGTGGTTTGTTCAGAACAGAGACGTTCACAGCGCAGGCAGGCACGTGCATTCTGAGACGTCCTCTGGACGTGTAGTGGCCACCCCCGCCTCCCCAGCCTGGCCCTGCCCCAGGGGACCTGACACACGGGATGCAGCGACATGGCCCAGGAGAAGCTGGGCCTCTGGGGACCCCAGGGATGGGGAGCATGTGACTGGTGCCGCTCCGGGCACACACAGCACAGGCACGGCGTGGGGCTGAGGGCCGTGGAGACGGGGGAGAAGCCACGTCCCCCTCGTTGCATGCGTGGCTCTGCCAACCCATGCATCACAATTTTATGGATTATTTTCACTTTAATGTGCAATTTATCTCCCCTGTTTCTTAGTCGGCAGGAACATTTCACTGTCACTCCCACAGCCCCTCTCCAGGACCAGCTGCTTTGGGAACAGAAATCACAGCAGGGCTCGGCTCAGGAAATGAAGCTCTTCACGTCGGAGACTGCCCGGCCCTCCGCTCCCGGTGCAGGCAGGGCCGTCCTCGCACCGGGGGTCCCTGAGGAGACCCTGAGAGGTCCAAACACCCCGTTCTGGTCTCTGTCCTCCCCCAGCGCACTCCGACCCCACCCCACACAAAGGAAGCCGTGGGAGACTGCGCCCCCTGACCTGACCATCTCCCCTGGAGCCTCAGGGGACGTCCGCGTGCCCCTCCCGGGGCCTTATCTGTCCCATCTCACGCCCTACACCCTCCTGAGGAAAGTTCGCCCAGAATTGCACTTAAGGGACTGGAAAGGGAAGTGAAGAGATGGAGACTCAGGTGGGGAGGGGGCTGAGACCCGGTTGTGATTGCCTGCTGGTCCTGGGAGGAGAGGACCCCAGAACCACGCCGGCCAGACACCAACCTAAGCCCTTGGCGAATGAAGGGGCAGAGCAGGGAGGAGAGGATTTTATGGAAAAGATTCAACGTGGGCTGGGGTGAGGGTGGAGGTGACAGAGCAGACCTGCACCGGCACACAGGGGGCGCTCAGTGGCACCTGCGAGCGGTGAGCGGGTGGTCGAGGCAGGACCCCCGCCGTGCAGACCCCGACCCTTAGGACACAGCGTAGGAGCCAGTCACCCCCGTGTGCAGGGCAGCTGGAGGATTTCTTAGACCCATCACACACCGCCAGAGAGCACGGTGCTGTCTCCACGGGCCTGCCGTCAGCCGTCCGGTGCCAGGGTCAAAGTGGGGAACACCGTGAAAGCATGGAGACTCTGGGCTCCACCTCCGGCTTCCCAACCCTCCAGCCAGAGCCCGTGGGACTTGTGCCCTGAGTGCAGCCTGTACCACCCTCCTCCAGCTCGGCGGAGTGGAGAAACCAAGGAGCCGGTGTGGGGGGCGGGGGGGCTCTGTCACTCAGTTGATATGATAATCACGATAATCGCGAACGCACAGCAGACTGCTGTGTTTCCAAGCGCTCTCGCGTATTAACTCACTCAATCCTCACAACGGCCTGACATTAATCACATCTTGCAGGAGAGGAGACTGGACAGTCAAGGGGTCCTCCAGGGTCCTGGTGGGTGTCCTGGGCGCTGGGAGTAAGGCACAGGCAGCGTGCTCCGCGGGGCTTGCTCTTAATCCCGTGCTTACTGCCTCTCTTGACCCAGAGCACCAGGTTATAGCTGTCCACTCGTGTCCATCTGCCCGTCCATCCACTCAACCATCCAGCTACCCACCCATCCAACCACCTGTCCACCTGGTCACCTGTCCATCCAGCCATCCATCCATCCATCCATCCATCCGTTCATCCATCCATCCTTCTCTCCATCCATTCAATGTCTGTCTATTACGAACAAGTCTTGTGGGTTACTGGCTTGGCAGCAGTCCAGACAGGGTGGCCAAGGGAAGGAGAAGGGGTGACATGCATCACTGTTTGTATTACCATAGGTAGCAGTCTGCCCACATGGAGAAAACATGAAACAGAGGCTGGCGTCTGGCTGGCATCTTCCTGCTGCCCAGGAGAAAAGCTCCCGGAGGAGTCTCCACGGGTGACTTCCCTGTGGGCCCCTCGGGGCCCGTCCTAACCCTCATTCTACCTGTGGTCCCCACACTTCTCACCAACTTTCACTCCCCCAGGAAAGCCTTTCTTCTCATTCCCCAAACTCCACCTGAGCTCTGGAAAACACTGTGATTTTGCCAAAGGCATGAACTTGATTTATGGAAGAAAACTAATTAGGTTTTTGTGATAAATTACTGGGACCAGAGTGACATGAGGGGCTGATTACCTTGACTGATGAGATTATAACCAAACACGCCTGGTCTTCCACAATCTTGGCATCACATTTTCTGACGAGTGAAACTCGCACTCCTGGGACAGGCTCTTTTGTAAACAGAAGGATGAACTATGAGCTATTTCTCAATCTTGTTGCCACCAGCGTAAATTCAAATGTCAGCACAGAAGCCACTGCCAGGAGACAGCGTGAGTGCCAGTTCATAATGGAGCCTCTGTGTTTCCATCTGGTGCAGAAGGGTGGGAAGCAGCTTCCATCAACAGACGAAGTGCACGGTCGTCGGGGTTTCCACTTGAGCCACTGAACGCGATCCTAACCCTGCGTCTGCCAAGTCACGCTCACGTTCACTTCTCTGCACTGGACTTGCTCTACCTTGAGCTTTTGTACAGTTGCTACTCCCAGGACACAGCTGTAGGTCAAAAATTAGAATGAAAGAAATAAAAAGTAATCTTTCTTTTCCTTCTGATTTTAACACAAGGTCGCTATTCACAGCACCACCTTGTGTACCATGTGTCATCGCAAGGTCCCCATCATCCTCGGAGTGAACGCTTGGTCAGAGTGATGCTTCCTGAGCAGCAACAGCTCGTGTCTCCTAGGTGCTCACTGACACCCACCACCTCCGCCTCTCTTCCAGCGCACGGGCGGCTGGCCTTCCTGACCCCTCAGGGAGGGCATGGCCACAAGACAGGGCGTGGGCCGGGGCACGAGCACAACATCCCTGCCAGCGCTGAACCACCTGCGTGAGACCCTGGCACCCAAATCCCTTCCCTCTGGCCACTGGCTTTGCCGGCCGGGACCCAGCACAAGGACACCGCAAACCCAGAGGGGGCGCCCAGCAGGCATGTCGGAAGAGCAGAAACTGAGATATGGGGTCTCTCCTAATAAAAATGCCTACTGTGCGCCAGACTCTGCTGTGAAATCTCTAGCTGCAGCCCCTCATTCTGTGCTCAGAGCAGCCCCTGGGGGTGGACTCCACTCATCCTAGGTGACAGGAGTGGAAACTGAGGCACAGAGTAGAAAGCAGCACGAAACGGACCCGAGGTTGACGGCACCCTCACACCCCAGTGCTTTCCTAAATAAAGTCATTTTATAAAACCCAGATTCCCTGCTTACAGCCTTAAATATTCAGTTTTATGTGCACGATTGTGGACGACAACAGCAAGGTGATCACCTGCTTCTGGAGAGAGACAGACTTAAGGCGGAAAGAAGGCTGCAGACCACGCCCCTGGCCAGTCGGGAGCAGGGAGCCACACTGGCAGCAGGGCGTCAGGGAGGGCACTCGGCGCCATCAACCCCATCGACCAGTATCTGCGGGAGGTGCTGAGCCCAGAGACGCCTTCCCCCCCATCCCCCGTGAGCTTGGTGCAGGGTTCAAAGCCAGCGGTTTCTACAAGGAGCCACAAAGGAAGAGCATGCAGGCTGGCCTCACCCACCCCAGCCCACCAGAGGGCCTCTGCTCCTGGACTTACACCCTGGATCTCCATTTTCAACCTTGTCTGAAGAAACAATTCCACAGCTTTAGAAAAGGTGGAAACCTGCTGGTGTAACTAAGCTGGCGCCCAGGGGGCCCACGGAGCAAGTCTGTGTGCCACCTTTGAACTCCAAGTTGTGTGGCCTTGAGGAAGTTCTCTTCCCGATGGCTTCAGTGTCTCAGGTACAAAATGAAAATATTAGGGTAACAGTGCTCACCTGGCCAGGTGGTGGAACAGTGCCAGCCCCATGCGGTCTGTGAGGCTCGGGCTGGATGCCGAGGTGTCCACAGGGCAGGCGCCAGACAGGGCGGGAACGACTGCCTTCTTGGAAGAGGCAGCATCTGGACTCAATTTGAAGGATGGGTAGGAGCCCGCCAGCCTCGCCACTCTGTGGAAAGGATGCACCGTGAGAGGGGACGCTGGTACTGCGTTGACTCGGGAAGAACTTGCCTGCTGAGGCCCCGGCATTTTTCTTACTCAGCTCCAGGCAGGGAGTAAAGACAAGAGTATTTCTGGCAAAACGGATTCCTGATATGATCTGCTGTGAGTGCTGGCAGAGCTCCCGGGTGGCTCTACGCTCTGTCCTGTGGATTTCTAAGTCTGTGCCAGTGACATCAAATGTAGGCATCTTCAAAGAAATTCACTAGCCTAAGATGTCTGAATTAATCATAAAATCAGTCTCTTGGAGAAAAACCTCATACTCCAGGCTCTGCTCTCCAGGCTCCAAACTGCACAGTAGCACCCGGGGCTGGAAACGAGGTTTAGAAATAACCTTGACCTCAATGAAGAGAGAATTTGTGAAGATGGAACCAACTTGAGTGGGACTTTTCCCTGGGCCTTTTTGCTGTAGGACGAGCGTCCTATCAGGGACAAGGCTCGCTGGGGGAAGCGTGATTTCAGGAGGAAGGCGAGCTCAGGGGGTGCGGGGCTTCCTGACCCCCTGACCTCAGTCTGGCCGCCGCCTTGGCCTGGAGGGGCTGCCCTGGACCAGGCTCGGTTCCAGCTCAGCACAGGCGGGAACCTCCGGTGCCACGAGCATCCTGAGACGCCACGCTAGGCTTCCGACGTCCCTGTGAGTTTCCTCCAGTCAGAGGCCCGGGGTGCCAGGGCCATAAGGAAAAGGAAGGCACTTCTGAGTCCTGCCAGCTAGCAAGGGGCCAGTGAGAAAGGGGACGGGGCCCTCAGTGGGGGACGAGACTGGAATCCGCGTCTGACACGGCCTCAGTCAGCTCCTTCGCTGCTCCTGCCCGGGCCCCCGCAAGCCCCACTAGTGAGGCCCAGGAGCGGCTGGTCTGCGCTGCACTGAGCTGAGTCTACAGGTCATCCACAGGTCCCTGGTTTAACTCAGTGACCTGGGTCCATCAACCTGATGCCCACAACCGTGGATTTTAGCTCATTTTAAGTACACCCCCACCAGGGACCCAGCTGCGTGTGTGGACCCACGCGAACACCCCACGAGCTTCCCTGCACAGGCGGGTGCTGGGGTGGCGGGTGGCGCTGCCGGTTAGCTGGGCTCTCGTTCTCGGCAGGCGGACTAACCGGCTTACACCGCGAGCTGCTGCGCCGCCCAGGACCTCGGTCCTCACCTGTGGACCGGAAGGGGCAGCACACCCCACAGCGTCGTGCTGTGGGGCCCGGCAGGCGTCACACCTGCTGACCAAGTGACCAGCATGTGGCCCGCTGGCCCTTCTGGTGACTTTACCCGGCTGGCCCGTAAGGCTGCAAGGCTGCGAGGTCTCCAGACGCCCCTCCTGCCGCCAGGGTCCCCGCCTGGAGACTGGGCTGTGCTCGGGGACAGCGTGGGAGGGAAGGGAGGACTTCCCTGGGGCAGATCTGATGGGGCTGGTCGATCCCCCCAGGGCACGTGGCCTCCTTCCTGACCACACCACGCTTCTGAGCCGGGCATGAACCCTCAGTCCAATCAAAGGGCGGGACGTATCATTCACGCAGACAGGACCACGGAGAGCCTGGTCGCCTCGCAGAGCTCCCTGGACTGTTCTCCGAAGTGGTCACCGATGGCTGTTTCAGAAGGCCTCTCAAATCTCAACCATCCATTCGTGGGCAGGGTGAAGGTTAAATGGAGCAGCCCCGTGTGTGACATAAGCCCAGGATGCTGGCTTCACCATGGGGGCTCCACCCCAGGCCTCCCCCAGGACTCTCGCCTTCCGTGGCCGGTCATCTCCTCTCTAGTTTATTAAAATGATCTAAAAATGCACATATTATTTTTCCAGACTCCTCTCCCTTCTTCTGCAGGTTATGACTCTATAATTAATACTTGGATGTGCTTGAAACGCTCCTGAGGGAGACTCTGCTGCTCTCATTTTCTGTCAAACAGTCTCATTCTGCGGGTGATAACATCTCGCACGACCCCATCTCCCTCTCTGACCAGCAGAAGAACAGGATGATCTGCCAAGGTTTGAGGTAGCTTTGTACGGGGACCAAGTTTTCGCTGAATAAACAGAGCAGACGACCAAATGTAGGCTAGGGAAGTACAGAATGCGGCTCATTTTTAACAGATGGGTTGTAACATGAGAAATACCTCTGGTGGGGCTTCCACGCGCAGCATTATGCCTAAATGCGCACGGGGCGTGTTTTCCTCCATTTCAGTGGAATATTTTGCCCTGAAACAGTCTCCATTTTTTCACCTGATGACCACACACGGGTCAATGTTCTGTCCCCAGGCTCAGGGGACATGCCCAGTGACCAAGGAGGAGGGGGAGTCCAAGGGGGAGGCCCAGCTGAGCCATGAACGTGGTGGAGGAGGCAAGAGAGAGACGGTGAGCACCTAAGACAGGGAGGCAGGGCTCCAGCCACCTCCCCGGTTGTGACAGGGATGCGGTGCCCTCCCTGGGAGGCCTCTCCAGCCCGCCAGCCCCACCCACACTCGCTATGCTCAGCCCCCTTCCTTGCCCTCCCTCCTCCTCCCACAAAGCCCCGGAAAGTCCTGCCAGGGCAGCACCTTCCAGTGGGAGGTCCCCAGAGTGGACAAGGGCACTCACACCTGGAGCTGGTGACCTTTCTTTCATCCTGTTCCCCGAAAACACAAGACCTTCCCAGAGGACCTGGAGCGTCCTGCGGTCAGGACAGGAGGGGGACGCCAGTCACGGGGTGAGAGGGGAGTTTCCAAGGCTAGACAGCCAGGAGGGCCCGGGGCCCTGCATCTGTCACCTGCCCTACACAGAGGCCTCCTTTCCGCCAAGCTCTGCACCCAGCCCCCCACTTTCCCAGCCCCGCTCAACTGCTTTTGAGACCCAATCCAAGCCCCCGGGGTGACTCTCAAAGGCTCTCAAGCATCCGCTTCCAAGCCTTCTGCCCTCCAGCCCTGTGATGCTCACCGCACCCACTGTCCCGGGAGTCTGCCTGCGCTGCTTCTGGGCCAGCGCGCAGCCGGCCGCCCCGGCCGCCAGCCCCACTCGTGGGACAAGCCGGTGCTCCGCTCCAGTTCCTCAAATCCCAGCCGCACAAGCTCAGAGACCACCCCCACCTCAAGGCTCTGAACAACGCAGACCAAGTGACTTCTGCCTCCTCGTGGTTCTGGTACCATCTGTGGGCTCTGTCATCAGTCTGGCACCGCAACGAGCACGTAGGTCAGAAACAAGGATGTGAACGTCTTTAGAAAAGACCAAAGTCTGCCCAGTCAGCTGTTCTAAAACATGATTCCTGCCGTCCCGTTAACTTAGACGGTGCAGTGGGAAAACGTCAAAACAGTCAACTGCGCGGTAGAACAAATTAATATGTAAGTCAGTATAAACTTTAAAATGATAAAACATCCTTAGCTTTCGTCCTCTGAACTATACGATCATCACACGAACACGCACTTCCATGTACGTTCACCAAGACGCGGATGGAAGTGCGCATTGTTTCTCCGATCAGGCGATTCCCAAATCACCGACAGGCATCTAAAGGCGTCGGCGTGGCTTTACTTGACGTAGCTGTTCCCGCAAGACGCCCCTGAGTGCGCGTGACTGGCG